ATACTGCTTAAGCTACTATAATATATATTGATTCAAGATCTGTATAACTTCTTATAAAGCTATTATACAAGAAACAAAAATACTTTGTCAAAAGAGTGTAGAGAGAAGTTTATACTTAATTACTTATTCTATATAAAGTGCAAACTACTTTTTTTTGAATAATCAAAACTACATAATAACTAATTAGACGTGATAACTAAGAATTACTATCTAAAAGGACTTGTTTATATCTATTTCTAATAACTACGATACATGTTGCTTTTATACAAATTCAAGATATAATTTCTAGATTATACGAATTTATATTCACTATATTACTTAAATTCTATTAGATCAATATTTGTTCACTTGTTCGTTCACTCATTCGTTTAGTTATTCATTCATTTACTTGTTTGCTTGTTCATTCACTTCACGTAATTTGATCTTTATTCAATAAAATATGAAATATATATAATCCAATAATATGTAATATTATGACAAAAGATCATTATATAACAGGATCCTTATTTTTAAGATTTTGCTCCGTAAAATAAAATATAAAACTATAAAAATTATAAAAGATAATATAAAAAGAGAGCAAATAATAATTGTTCATTATTCTATTAATAGCTGGTGCTATGTGAAATATGTAATGCAATTCTTTCTTTTAATTGATCTTTTAACTAATTTTTCAAATTATTTCTGAAGTTAATTGTTTATCCATTCTATAAGATCAAAATATATTTTTGTGACCCTTGAAATATTGATATATTCTCAAAATTAAAGCATGTTTAGAAGTAATGTTAACAATGCTTATCTTTTCTTTGAATAATTATCTAGAGTCAGAATGCTATCTTCTAGTTAACTTATAATTACTGGTAAGATTTGATAGTATTCTTCTAATTTTGTAATATATTGATAATATTATATATTTACTATTTTTCAATAATTTTCTATAAGTTTCTAATGATCTTTCAGTTGATGATAATTTAGATAGTTATTCTGCTAATTAATTATTCTTTAAAGCATCCTTTATACTATTAATTACGTCTTCTTCTAATGGTATCCATGTTTGATTAATTTTTGTTGAATTTTTCTCAGAAATCAATATTTGTTAAATTATTTCTATTGAACTTTCAAATAATTGTTCTAATATCGTATTAATTTCTGGTATTGTAATTAAATCTGAGTTTACTTCTTTTTCAAAGTCAAAAAGATTAAAAGAATTGATATTAGCTATTAATTCAGTTGATGTTTTAATAATGTTCGTTGAAAATTGTGATCTATTATTACTAATCTCTATTTTAACTTCTGAACATATTTGTTGTAATTTCAAATATAGTTCATTTGTTAATACTATAATTTTATTAGAGATATTTATAAAAAAAATAGTAAAATTAAAATTATTTTTTTATAATGAAAATTTTATTTTTATTAGTAAATATTTTTTAAAAGAAAGCTAAGAGCCTGTATTTTAATATATATTTTTTATAGATTTTTTAAATTTAATTTCAAAATATTTTAGATTATAAAGTTAATTATACAAATTTTTTATAATTAAAATTTAATAATTAAAATTTTTAAAAAATTTATAAAAAATATATATTAAAATATATATTAAAATATAGGCTTTTAATTTTTTTTAAAAAATATTACTAATAAAAATTTTATTTTTATTATAAAGAGATAATTTCAATTTTATTATGCTTTTTTTGGATTTCTGATAATTTATTGTAGAGATATATAAAAAATATTGTAAGTAAACTTGTAAATATAAACTAATGCAAAAAAATTTGTACTTCAAAATAAAAATTAATAATTATTTTTAATAAAAGTTATTCAAAATTTAACTAAAACTTTATAATTTTTTTATATTAAGTAAAAAATAATTTAAACTAATTATTTATATTATTTTTTTATATTTTATTCAATAATAAATAAGATATAAATCTTTTTGTATTAATTTATAATATATATTAAGTTATTTTTGCTGAGTTTTTTCATTTTTGATTATTTTTAGATTTTGATTATTTTTAGATTTTGTTAAATTTTCAGGAATTAAAGAAATTTTTGTTACTATAACAATATTTTAGCCATAATGAAAAAGTATTGATCAATAAATTTAATTATAATACTAATCATTAAATATTTTCTTTTAAAATTATGCATTAATTAAATTACAAGATCAATATATAATGCAAAAAATTGAAAACAAACATTTATTTTTGAAAATAACTTGTATTTTGAAATTTTATTTATCTTTTAAACCATCCAACAAACAAATTTGCTAAAATTTTTTAGCTTATTTTTGTACCTTTATTTCTAATTTATAAGCTTAATCCCTATCTTTTTATAAGCTAAAATAAAAATATAATATATTTTTAATCAATATAATCTAAAATTTGTAATTTCTATTTATAAATTGCTCAAAATATTTGATTTAAATTGTAATCAATTCTGTAATTTTATTATAAAATATTTTTAAAATTGCTTATTTTTTAAAGCTAATATTAAAAAATTTTTTTTAAAATATTTTAATTTTTGGTAAAAATATATTAGATATAAATTTATGGAATCTTAGCAGGCAAAGTTGCCTGCTAAACCTGATAGTTTAAAGGATCAAACAATAATTTGTGTTTTAATAAAAAAACGTTCCTTGCGAAATTATGTTCACGTTTGTTATATAACCACCTTAACCTTAAATCTAACACTAACCCTAACTGAAACTCTATTTAGTATTATTAACGTTAACACTTTTCAAAAATTCGAACATTCGATGAATCATTCGATTCAATCGAAACTGTGGAATATCTAAACGCACGTTAGTTCAGAGTACTTGCAGAATTTCTATAACCATGTAAAAATCCACGTGGTAAACCTATATTTTATCCTTCTACGTAATTCTCACGTAATGAATGCATGCAAAATATGCATGTAGAATCATATGTAACCATAACCGTCCCACGCTTATCTGTTTCGGGCTATCGTTATGATTCATCGATTCGAACGAAACACGAGAGCAAATTAATAGATTTTCTTGGATTTACTGACAGCCCCCTCCCATACGATTCGATTCAACTGGTAAGCTTTAATACAGGTACTGCTATGTATTTAAATTTTTCTCCTATATATAAACAAATTTTTAGCCATGAAATTAAATAAGCTATTTAAAAAGTTGTATTTTATAAATTCAATAAATTTCTTAACTGCATGTATATTGGAAGTAAATCCATCAATATATCATATTGATGGATTGAAATTTTGTATTAAGAGGTTTATTGAATTTATAAAATACAATTGTACACCATATAAATTTTGTATTAAATGCAAAACTTTGAGATATTAATTCGGTAATGAATAGAGTTAAATTTTCGAGATATAAAATGTTTCTTAAGATAGAAACGAAAAAACATATACCGATCCCCTTAATTCTTATCGTTATCCAAATGTACATGGCAATACAACACACATGCATACATAGCACTTTTTCAAGAGAACTTCTATGCATTATGAGCGCATTTCTACATGTATTAATATATGTAGATTAATAGCGATACAAATCACATATTTAATCAACTACCACTCGAAGAAAACGGGATAAAAAATACCAATTCTTTCTCTAACCTTTTTTCTGTATATCAAAATGAAAAGACGAAATATAATAATTGGAGTCATTGTTTCGTTGTTGATTATAACAGCGATTATAATTGGTCTTGCTGTCGGAACTAGAAAATCAAAATCTAATAATCCTACTTCCGGTAATAACAGTTTATCAAATAGCAATTCATCAAATAGCAATTCATCAAATTCAAATTCACCAACGGGCGGTAAATTAGATTCTAATCCCACATTCACGACTTGGGATGGTCAATCGGTCAATTTAACCATTCAAACGAATTCTATATACAAAAAATCACTTTATGGGATTAATTATGGTCCTGTCAACGCCACTTGGTAATTAATGTTCTGTTTTGGTCATTTTATTATGCATAAATAATTTATTATTATATTTTTTTTTTATTATTATATTCAATGGTTCGTAGGCCAGAATGCGGCAATACCCTTGGTGATGTCATTGAAGATGTTAAAATTTTATCACAATTGACAAAAAGGCAGGTTTTGTCCAAAATAATTGGACCATATGTATTGATATCTTAAATAATCCTTACGAATTATGAAAAACAGAATTCGGCTTTATGGAATGGACTGTAATATGGCGAATTACACTATTCTTGCCATTAAATACTTACGCGTCGACATCAAAGTTATCCCGACCATTTGGGTTGATGGTAATATGACCACATATCAAAGACAACATGACGATTTATTTGCAAATTTACAGCAGCATGGTTTTGATTATATTGAAGGAATTTCTGTGGGAAACGAAGGTAAATAAATTCATGTGATTGGTATGCTTTACATTGTCTACTTATAATTTATTATTGGAATATTGCAACATCTTTAAGTGATTTTCCGCAAAGAGGTCTCAACCGATGACTTATACAAAAGAATCGCGGACGTCCGACAAGCGATCCGTGCGTTACCAAATGTTCCAAAAGATCTTCCAGTATTCACTTCAGATCTCGGTTCAAATGTAGGCGATGTATTTACTACTGCCGTTGACGCAGTTTTCGCGAATGTCCATCCTTACTTTGCCGGTGTTACGGCTGAAGAGGCAACTGCTTGGTCTTTAAAATGGTTCGATGAAAATGATGTGACATTTGCAAATAAGCAAAAGAAACCAGCCGTAATTGCAGAAGTTGGATGGCCAACTAATGGACTTTCGAATAAAGGAGCAGTCGCATCAATACCAAATTTACAAACTTTTATCTCACAATTTATTTGTGAAGCAAACAAAAAACAATACAAATATTATTATTTTGAAACATTCGATACACCATGGAAAACAGAAAGATTCACTTTATTGGAAGGAAGCTGGGGATTGTTTTATCCGGATCGTACTTTGAAGCCTGGTCTTACACTCCCTGATTGCGCCCCAACCGCCCCCGGTATAAGAAATTAATGATTAGAATTTAACTAAATATTAGAATTTGTAATACTGCCATAAATAATGAAAATTTAGATAGAAATAATAAATTTTTGTTTTGTTTCCTGAAAAATTGAATTTCAGAGTACGTACGTATTTTAATAAATATATTATTGTCGATGATTAATATTTTGAAATTTACGCGTTTCTTAATTGCATGAACTTTATTATTTATACGTATTACAGTAATTACAGTTCTAAAAGTTTTCAGCTAAAACTTCATTGGATCGGATATTTTCTATATCAATAAAAACATTATTTTACCAAAATAAAAAAATAGTATGAATAAATACAAAAATATATGTAATCGCCTTAAACGTAAATGGCAATAACTTCGATTTGTGAGGAAATGTCCGGAAGAAACACCACCCTGTTTTTTAGAAGGGTAGTGTTGCGCTTATTTTAAATTGGGGGCGATTTGAGGGATTTCTAACGCAACAAGACTTTGGGAGAGATTATTAGAT